TATTATTTTTTTTAATAAATTTTTTTATTTTTTTTTATTTTAAATAATTCCAGTCTCGCTCGAGAACTCCGGTCTGACGCACGCGGGTTCTTGTGTATTTCCTTATCACTTCTCGTGTGTGTTTTGTTGTGAAAATCACAGACCATTTGCGGGCTATATATATATATTTGAATAATTACAGTCTCACTGGAGAACTCCGGTCTGACGCACTCGGGTTCTCACGTTATTTCCTTATCACTTGTCACGTGTGTTTTGTTGTGAAACGTAGTTTGGGGACCAGACAGAGCTGTCGGCGATTCTTCCTATTGTGAAGTCATGAAATGTGAAACCCCCTGTCGCCGATCCATCGTGCAATGTGAACACAGCAGCAACTGAATGCTACCGCAGATAGTCACGCAGTGTGAAAACAACGGCAATCCGACTGGTTTGAAAATCATGCAGTGTGAACTCGGCATTATGCTCACCAAGTCTGCATTTATTCGATCACAAATACAGTTAAAACAATATTGTAAAATATCATTATAATTTAAATTAACTTTTCCATTTAAATTGATTTTTAATGCAAACTAATCCTGTTTAGACAAAACTGAATTTTTAGCAGCCATTACTCCAGTCTTCAGTGTCACATGATCGCTCAGAAATTAATTCAGATATTAATATTAATTCAGAAATTAATCTAATATGCTGGTTTGGTTAGAAAAGAAAGAACAAAAGAAAGAAAGAATGAAAGAAAGCCAAAGACAGAAAGAAAGACCGAAAGAAAGAAAGACAGAAAGAAAGAAAGAAAGACAAAGACCGAAAGAAAGAAAGACAGAAAGAATGAAAGACAGAAAGAAAGCCAAAGACAGAAAGAAAGACAGAAAGAAAGAACGACAGAAAGAAAGAAAGAAAGACAAAGACCGAAAGAAAGAAAGACAGAAAGAATGAAAGACAGAAAGAAAGCCAAAGACAGAAAGAAAGACAGAAAGAAAGAACGACAGAAAGAAAGAAAGAAAGACAAAGACCGAAAGAAAGAAAGACAGAAAGAATGAAAGACAGAAAGAAAAAGAAAGACAGAATGAAAGAAACAAAGACAGACAGAAAGACAAAGAAAGACAGAAAGAAAGAAAGACAGAAAGAAAGAAAAAAAAAGAAAAAAGACAAAGAAAGAAAATAATAAAGACAGAAAGAAAGAAAGAATGAACGAAAGAAAGATTTTAATATAATTATGAATGGGATGGTAATCTATGTAGCCTGCATGTAGGTAGTTGACTTGGTTTTGAGTCGGTGTGTATCAGAGAGGATACACTTGAAATGATATGATTGGCTTTACCTACGTCAGGTGGGTTTGGCAGCCGGGGGTGGAGCCCCACCCAAGAGCAATGACTCAACATAGGTCAGTGCGCTCTGCATTGACGTCAGGCAGTACCCTTCCTCTCCGATCAGATACCTGTAGACATAAGTAAACACTTCATTAGCGCTTCTGCTCACAAGGGAAAACAAGATCTCTTCCACTGAGGGTCAACTTCAAGTGAACCCATTTGCTAATGAGACTAAGACACGAGATCAAGCTGAAGCCAAGAGCCAGTGTGTAACATGTTAGGGAATGTGATGAGAGAAGAGAACGTAAGGGAGAAATGAAAGAAAGATAGTATGAGACCGATCATTCTGTTCATTAAATGAACTTTGCTCAAACTCAATCATCATTTTGCACCCTCAAGTCATTTTAAACCCGTGCCATAAAGTCATATTTGATTTGAGACCTGCTTGAACTGCAGATTATCAATAAAAGGCTTAAATTTGTATAAAGAACAAAAATCTCTCATATGATTTAAAGCGATAGTTCACCTAAAAATGAACATTTGCTGAAAATTTACTCGCACTCAGGCCATCCAAGATGTGGAGAAGTTTGTTTCCTTATCAGAACAGATTTGACGAAATTCAGCATTACATCACTTGCTCACCAGTGCAGTGAATGGGTGCCGTCAGAATGAAAACATTACAATAACCCACAAGACTCCAGTCCATCAATTAACACCTTGGGAAGTGAAAAGTTGTGCGTTTGAAAGAAACATATACATTAATGCGTTTCAACTTTAAACTGTTGCTTCTGCTGCATGCCTGATCTGATATCTCTCTCCCGATTCAGATGATTACTTTTTCACTGGAAAAAGCAATATTATGGATAAAGGACTATTTTAGCCAGCAGCAATGGTTTGAAGTTGAAAATGTCTTGGATACGCAGCTTTTCACTTCACAAGACATTAATTGATTGACTGGAGACTTGTGGATTATTGTGATGTTTTTAATCAGCTGTTTGAAACCTCATTCTCACAGCACCCATTCACTGCAGAGGATCCATTGGTGAGCAAGTGACGCACTGCTAAATTTCTGTTTCAGATGAAGAAACAAATTTTTATATCTCAGATGGCCTGGGAGATGGACCATTCTTTTAAGTAGCTTTTGACACTTTTGAATCCTGCCACTGCGGACAGTTGGTGAAAACTTTTTGTAAAAAAGAGCAGCAAGTTTAGAACGACATGAATAATGACAAAATGGCCTTTTTTTGGCGAGCTATTTCTTTAAATCAGTCTATACATATAGTCCAAATGAAAGGAAACCTGTTAACTGTGCCTGAGAAGGAGTACACTTCCTATCACAGCTTTCCTCACACGCTGCAGAGAGTTCCACCCTCAGTTCCAAGCCACCGAGCAGCATAAACATCTAAAGAGATTTTATTTGTATTTTTATAGGGAGAGAAAAACCCAAACCAGAATATCCCCAACATTCCTTGTTAAGTGCCAATCTAACCAGCCTGTAAAAATGTCCAGTTTTATACTGATAAACAGAGCTCAGGGCTGTGGTCTGAGTAGACACGCAAGAGTACAGCGCAGGAGGGGTGACATGAATACCCATAACGCCGCTCAGGAAACAGGTCAAGCGGTCACCTAAACGAACCGAGATCTCACTGTAGTGATATCCTCTGCTCAAAAAAAAAAAAAAAAAAAAGATAAACATGAAAGATGGCATCAAGGTTGAACTCGCATCACCAATAAGTACTGTAATATTTGCTTATGGATTTATTCCAACATGTTTAGACCGGAGGGTATTTTTCTAGCTGACATATTTATGCACAAAATCTGAGACAGTGCAATAGATGGCATTTCGATTATTGGAAACAAGTGAGGTCGTGTTCTGTCGATACATGCCCAAATGACAGCGAGACTGGCACTTAAAAGGATATGACAAGCCAAATTTCCAAACAGCATCATCTACCCCAACATTTTCAACAACTGATGCCAAAAATTTGACAGACTGTCGATGGGTTTTAGAGGCTGTCTGAGTGAGATATGCCATTTTCTATTGCATAATATTTAGTCAGGCTGGAATTGCAGATCTTTAACCCATTATAACAATAACATTTAACTCCCAGCCATAGAGGTATCAACTGGACAATCTTTTACAATTTGTGTGTTTGCTTTTTTATCTGATAGTCTCATGCCAAGTCTAAAGCTAAGAACTGGATACACATAAACTACCATTCAAAAGTATCATAAGCAGCACAACATTGATAAGTAATATTTTTTGAATTCCAAATCAGCATATTAGAGACTAGAGTAATGGCTGCTGAAAATGAAGATTTGCCATCACAGGACTAAATTACCTTTTAGAACATAGTAAAATAAAGTTACTTTTAAATGGTAATATTTCACACTATTACTGTTTAACTGTATTTTTGATAAAATAAATGTAGTCTTCATGAGCATAAGAGACTTCTTTAAAACCATTAAAAATATTTTCCCATTGACCATTCTGTGGTTACTTGCCACTGATATCACATGCTAATGGTCACTTCATTCTTTATAACATCTAAATGTAAAAAGAGATTGACTTTACAAAAGAACGTTACAAGACATGGCCTGGTGGGAGGCACATGCGCAGTAGAGTACAGAGTGTGGGTTCATAACTGCAGAGAATAGAAAAGTTACACAGCACTTTATATTGAAGACGCACCCCTCGTGAATGAACTCTTCCAATGCAGCACATTCAGACACCAGCTGAGGCGTTTCACTGCGTAAAGCCACGAACGCCAGGATGGGCAACAGGTCATCGGCACCACTGAGAAAGACAAAATGGGAAAAAATGTAAAAAATTAGATGAAGTAAACAAATAAATCCAATTAAATTTATTGGCAAGATAAGCCATTCTCAGGAAGAACAGATAAATCCCATGATTCGTGCGTTGGAGGGACGTTTGTGTGAGAAAATAGCTGGGTGTCCCCTTTCCTGCCGGACTGCAGGACACCTGATATGTTTCATACAGGTGAGAATAGCTCTGCATACCATCATCATCTCTGTTCCAACACAGTTTCTGCTGCTATCAAAATAACGCTCATACAAGGCGTGCTGGGATGACGCGGCAGTTAGCTTGTTCAAGCCTGTATGTCAAATTATGGCAAAATCAGAGCACATGTTGAAGAGCTTTTTCAGTGAGGGCAAAATTTGACTGAGTTTAACGATCTGAACTTGAAGGGTGATGACGGTAAAGAAATTTGTTGCAGAAAAAAAAAAAAAAAAAAAAAGGCAAATGCATGAGCTTTGTAAGAAACAAAAAAACAAAGATGTATTATAGACCAATATGCCCCCTCTAGAGAAAAGACAAAAGAATAATACTGATATATATACAGAAGGAAACAGCTATATAAATTTAAGTGTGAGTGAACGTAATCCAGAAAGGAGGAGAAGAAAGTGAGCGAGAGACAATGGAACAGAACAACCGAAAAAAAGGGTGAGAATGGCTAAATTGTTCATGTTCATGCATGCATGAGGACATTCATTCTCCCTCACAACCAAACACAAACTTAAAAGCAAAACAAAGGCAGAATGCACCTTGGCTGTGCTACCAGGGCAAAATCAGGTCAAGTCTCACAATGACACATTTCCTTTTGGATCGCTGATGCCTTTATAGCATAATCATTTTTAAACCAAAGTTCAAGCACGGGATTGAAAACACCCAAATAATGCTAACGAACCAAAACCGTTGGATTTGGAAAGCAACTGTACATTGTTCTGGTAAGAATAAACAAACATACGAAAATTGGGGATGGGCAGTATGACCAAACCATCTAACTGCAAAATCATAATTATATAACAATACGGCTTTCAAAAACAAAAATAAAAGGAAGCTTTAACTAGATTGTATTGATAATTAAATAAATTAAATAACTGTATATTATTTCAATTATTAACAACAAATTAATAAATATAAAAATAAATACTCAAATATAATGTAACTACTTAACTGCAGAAATTAAGTCATTTTTAACAACAAATATTACTATTATTAAATTCATTTTTAAACAAATTTAGGGATTTGCGATTCATAGATTTTTATTTTGATTTAAATCTTGGCTTCCAACAATTAAAACAAGATAATTGAGGTAAACGATTGCGCCGCAATTATGCTTACACACCTTCCTTCACAGCGGTGCAATTTTGTTCCTCCTTAAAAGCCCAAACTTAATGTCAAAATTGTGTTAAATAATGATTTCAATAAAGTTAATTAAAAATAAATAAATAAAACTTGACCCTCTAACAATTGCACTCTCTGTTCTATTTTTATTCTACTAGTATTCTTTTTATTTATTATTAAAAAAAAAGACCCTCTAACATTGGCATTCCCTATTGTTTTCCTATTCTTTTGACTTTTTATTCTAAAAAAAGAAATCACCCTCTAATCCTAGTGTTCTCTATTCTTTCGACTTTTCTTTTGATTTATAAAAAAAAAAAAAAAAACCCCCTCTAATCCTAGCATTCTATCTTTTTGTTTTCCTTTTATTTATTATAAAAATAATTTTTTTTTTTTTTTTTTAAACCTTGTTATGTGTACTTCATTAGACTAACCGAGAATTGTCACAGCATTGACATTTTATTGCTCTTTTGTTGGTTTTGACTGCTTTTATTGTCCTCATTTGTAAGTCGCTTTGGATAAAAGAGTCTGCTAAAGGACTAAATGTAAATGTGAGCAGTCCTATATACAAATATGATTGATTCAAAGGCGATACTTGTGACAAGACTGTCTGCACTGGACGCTTCTGCCTGTAACACAGCCTGCTTTGCCCCTGATTTTTAAATTATGTCACCACAGATATATTGAATAGTATAAATAGTAAAACAATCTGCACCAGTTGATACATTTCTACACATTTCACATCGGCTAAATGTTCTTTCTTAAGAGAAAAACACAATTGTGAGTCATTGTAAAAGTGTTGCAAGACAGTGCTCTAACAACAAGCATCTACATCAGTCATGGGGCACCAAACCGCTGAGCATGTGCATCACCAGCGAGCCACCGCTCTGCAAACTGTGATGCAAAGAGACATGTAGATATGACGCAAGTGTTCATTCTACCCTTGCTTCCTAGAATGAAGCACGAAATCAAGAGAGAAAGATGAACAGGCAGCTTGTTTTGATGGGTGTGGCAGGGCCAAAGGTTACAGACATCAGAACGGCCCACATAATCTCCCAGCGCAGAACGCTAGCGTGAGCTCGCACTTTAACCGTCAAGATCGCAGCTGAGACGGGAGGAAATTTAAGATGTTTTCCAAAAGAGTGGAGCAGAGGCTGAGGTCTGTGGGAGAATTACCACAGAGGAATCTGAGCCAAGTAAATTCACTCCGATAAACCTGAATAAACCCACATATTTAAGAAAATGTGTGTCATCAGGATTTTACTCTGGTTGAACACACCCGTTCTTGCTGTAAATCCAGAATTCAAGAGTTTTACAAATTAGAGGAGCTGGCCAGAAGCTGTGTGAACATCTCATCAACTAGAACATAAGCAGAGCCGCAAGACTCTATCTGCAATAGATAAGGCTCACTTTTGGTTAGCATTACTGCATCAATTTGACACTCAGACCCTCTCTCAAAGTGCATCAAGGCCAAAGTCTGCTCCAGACAGGGCGACCCACTTAGAGAGGAAGTCAGCTCCGAGCACCCCGCGGGGGCCAGAGGGTCAAGACAGAACCCCTGCTGAGCTTTGGCCTCCGTAAGGTCTGATGAAGTCTGACACAAGGCCAGCGGACAAGCAGGAGATTGCTCTCAGGACTCTGAACTCCAACATAAAGTTCCTTCATGACTCGTTGTACTTTTTTGAAAGGACAGCAAAAAGGATGGAGCTTCACAGGAACATAATAGTTTTTATGTTTAGACTTGTGCATACTCACATTGCTGCTGATTTGGGTGGAGGATCATTTTCTTGCAGGAGGCGGTACTCTTCAGCACAGCCACAGATGATTCGTAGAGTTCTCACTGCAATAAAAAACAACTGAAATCAAAAAAACAATAAAAAAATAAAATAAAAAAAAGTGTGACAGGATATAGGTGTCTGTTCAAACTGTAAGGGTACATATTAGCATTGATAAGCACTCTTAAAGGGATAGTTCACGCAAAAATGAAAATTCTGTCATTACTTACGCAACTCGTTGCTGTCTAGGGTGGGTATGAAAGCTCTCGGATTTAATCAAAAATACCTTAACTTGTGTTCCAAAGATGAATGAAGGTCTTACGGATTTGAAACGAGATGAGGGTGAGTAATTGATGACAGAATTGTCATTTTTGGGTGAACTATCCATTTAAGATTAATATGCAACAAAAGACTAATATGCACCCTTTAGGGGTAGAAAAGGAATTCATTTTCAAACAATATCCAAAAGGTTACATTTATGAACACCTTACGTAAAGGAGCTCATAAACACCTTCACATAAACAAAAAAGATTTATCAAAGCATTATTTTATGAAGGAATAATCATGACATCATCTCAATTTCAACGGTCAAAACTACGTTATCTCAACTTTGCATTTATCAATTATTACAAATCTAAATTTTCACTGTCATAATATTGACTTTTCATCTGAGATAAGTCAAAATTATGCATCTAATAAATATGACTTCGTATGTTTATTTTTGACTATCAGATTTTTTTTCCATTTAGTCTTTTACAAAACTTACTAGTCACAATTATGGCTTCTAAATTCATAATTATGATTATTAAAGCATGATTTTTAGGTGGCAGAAATTATTTTCTATAATGTTACAATACTTTCTGCTATCCCAACTTAATACAGAGATAGCTAGAAGTTTGGTAAACCTGTTTGAAAAGCTTTTATTTTTGCAATTCCGTTTGGACACCAAGGTCCTGTTTAAACCTTAATGTGTTTTTAGTGATCGAATATCTATCTGATTTGTTAAAACGGTTCCATTTACACTTGGCCACATAAATGTGTCTCTGCAAAAAGGACATAAATCCAATCTTTAATTTATAAATCCGAACTGCAAAATTAAGTTCACGTCAACAAAAACATATGTGCTGTATTGTATTCATCATCAGCTCATTTCAAGATCAAAGACCGCAATAGGGGAGAGCACGGCATCAGCACTCGTAAGAATTTAGTCTCACTAACTTTAATGAAAATGATTGTGTTGAGCTTCTGCAACTTACTTTCAGCTTCATTAGCAGAAGTTTGCACGTTGACTTGCTGAAGAAATATTCAGCTACTCATCTGCAGCGATGCGTGTTGCATTAGCACTGTTATATCTGGCTATGACGTCATATAGCCTATAACACGCTTTCACATGTTTTTTTGTTTTTTTTACATTTGGGGGAGGAGTAACATTTACACGGGGTTTCAACAACCAGATGCATTTACACTTGTCCAGGTTCGTCTGGAATGCATCCCAAACCACCTCCTGAAGTGGTTTGAGTGATCGGATTTAAATCAGTCTCTAAAGCATTTTGAAGGGCATAGCTATCCGATCAGAGAAAACGCTTGAAGTGACCAGGTGTAAACATGCCCTAAAGTGACACACTGAAAGGGTTTGTGGTTTCAATTTATGCTCTTACCAATACACTCCAGTTTCTTCTGAGGACAATAGTCTCTACACAGAAGCTTCAGCTCCTGTACCGCTGACTCGTATGGATAGGAACCGTGCAGCACAGCTGGGTCTCTTGGGAACAATTTAGATGGAACACCAACAACACCAGGCGAAACATTATGATGAAGACACATGCTGCTCTCAACAGCCAGCTCCCGTTCTCGATGCACCTTCCTAAAGCATCACAAAAAAAACAAAAAACGCACAAGACATTTATATGCAATTTGCTAAACCATACAGCATCTAAGAAAGTGCTCTGATGACTTTGCGAGCAGTTGTAAGGAACGATGGTTATTTTCAGCCATGCTCTAACTAAAGAATAATGCATATGATACAAATTGACAAATTGAGTTGGGATTACTGAATTTTAGATTAATAGTGCCATCTACTGCTCAGTGTCTAGACAATTCATATAATGATTCAACATGACTCAGCTAACTCTGCCATTCAAAGTAGTAATTTGAATATTCTATTTTTGAATATGGAAAAAATTTAAATTTCTTTGTATTTATTTAATTAAAATATTGTATTTACTTCACATAAGTAAAATTGAAAAAATAACTTTTAAAAAATCTTTTAGATCCAAATCTGTGCAACAGGGGATTAACCCAATTCTTGTTATACACTAGTCATTAAATAAATTAGAAATGAATATTTTTATTAAGGATGCATTCAACTGATCAAAAGTTACAGTAAAGACATTTATAATGTAACATCAGATTCTATTTGAAATAAATGCTAATCATCTATTCATTTCCACAAAAACATTAAGCAGCACAACTGTTTTTTTTATTAAAGAAATGTGCCTGAGCAGCAAATCACCATATTAGAATGATTTCTAAAGGATCATGTGACACTGGAGTAATGGCTGCTGAAAATTCAGCTTTGCCATCACAGGAATGAATTACATTTTAAAATATAAAAGTTATTTTAAATTGTTATAGGACTTCACAATATTACTGTATTTAATCAAGTAAATCAGATTTGGTGAGACTTTTCAAACGTTTTTCAACACGCACACACATTTTTTTAAAGACAAAAAAACTCAAACCTCCAACAATTATTTTGTGACTTACCTAAAAAGTACCAAAAGAGGGCACCAAATAGGGGTGAAGAAGACTTCCTCTATACTCGCCACACATTGGTCCTTAGAATTCGCAGTGTTGAGACATTCAAAAGAGAGAAGACACAGAGACAGCAGGCGATCTGTTTCACAAAAAGATAAATCCATTTACCATAGACAATCAGCCAACTAGTCCATTTCATAAAAGGATCTTTTTACAAACACGTTTATGGTGGATTATGATGCTCAGGCGTTGGTTACACCCTGACGCAGTATAAACACATGATACAACCATACAGATCCCACTGCACTGACTATAACGGGATTTCTAAAAATGCTGAACTCACATGTTGCACTCAATCACACAAGAACAAACACTTATTTACCGATAGCATTGTGGATGTCTTTGACGATGGCCTTCAAATGTTCCTTCAAAGCACGCTCCTCAAGATGATTAATATGAGATTTGAGGTCTATGTGTGTTGTGTCAAAGATCACATCAGAGTTCGTATCATCACCACTGTGAGAAGGAACCCAGTCCAGCTGAGTAAGAAACTTCTCTAGATCCTCAAAAGAGTTCTCCCTATCTGTGGAGACCAGAGTTGAGGACTCGTCCAAGTCGTTCTCGGACTTTGTGTCGTTGGCGTTGAGGTCGTGGGATGGGGAAAGGGAGATGGAGGCATCAGATAAGCTGTGTGTCATAGCAGATTTGAGCGGGCTCTGCTGCTGCTGCGGAGAGATAAAACTGTCGAACAGGAGCAGGCTTTGGGCACTGCGGGAGGGCTTTAAGGGCAGTGAGCGACCAGGCGCTGTACTCAGAGGAACACACTGGCTCACTATAGGATACAGTCTGTTATACACCCGATACTGAAGCCTCTTCAGAAACTTCATGACTGGATGGTCTGGGTAGCTGGGATTGGAAAAGAACCAGATGACATAAGATATGGAAGAAACACTTTTATGCTTACAGATGATCTGACAGCATGAACCTACCTGAGAAGACATGAGATTAGACCTGAAACCAGCATTGGATCATTTGGATTCTTTTTCAGATTAGCTTTCCAAATTTTTGGCCATTCCTATGATAAAAATTAATAAAATCTTTATTTATACATTTGTGTACATACACTAATGTTCAGTCAGTATGATTTTTTAAAAGAAATTAACACTTTTATTCAGTAATGATGCATTACACTGATTAAAAAGTGACAGTAAAGACATTTATAGTGATACAAATAATTTCCGTGTTAAATAAATGCTGTTCTATTCATCAAAGAATCTTGGAGAAAAAAAAAAGCAGCACAATGGTTTACAACGATGATGATAAAAAAATGTTTCTTAAGCACCAAATCTGCATGTTAGAATGATTTCTGAAGGATCATGTGAAACTGTAGAAAATTCAGCTTTGCCATTACAGGGAAAAAAATATTAAAAAAATAGTAATATAGAGAAGTAATTTTAAATTGTAAAAATATTTAATAACATTAATTTTATTACTGTATTTTTTTGTATTTATCAAATAATTGCAGCCTTGCTGAGCATGAGACTTATATATATATATATATATATATATATATATCTTACCAAACCTAAACTTTTGAACAATAGTGTAGGTTTACCAGTTAAATTTGCGGTTGCAAAAATACACAAAGATATTATTTAAAAAGCTACAATATACATAAACTTACATGATCTTGCTCATATTCAAGCACACTTGCATACAGAACCCGCTGCTCTTGTTCCTCAGGTGTCATGGTCCCACAGGTCGCAAACCTCCTGCAAAAACACACAATTGCATAAGCCCAAATTAACACATAGCATAATTCAAAAAACTGTTGGCATTACACAGCTTAAATGTGTTTACATAATTCCTTTGCTATTACAAGGTATTATGTCATGCACAACACACAACAAATATGAAACAGGCAAAACTCATAATACTACATTTGCAAATAAATTGTCAGCTAAACATCTTCATATGGCCTATGGGTCAAAAAGGCTCACCTGTTGGCTTCTTCCTGCAGCCTGAGTCTCCTTTCCTCCATTTTTCTTTGAAGCTGCATGAGCTCAGGAAAATTCCCAAACATTTGAACAATTACCACACTCAGAAAAAGCTATCAGCAGAAGGCAAACCTTGCTCACAGCACATTGATTAAACATTCACCCAACACACTTAAAGTTTGGTTTTTGGTTTTTCACATGTGAAAAACCAAAAAACAAACTTTAAGTGTGTTGGGTGAATGTTTAAGAATGAATGAATGAATTAAGAATGAATCAGGTTTCACTTAAGCTGCATTAAATACTTCAGAGGTCACAGAGGTGTTGACCTTCCAACCCTAAACCTTTCTTCACAGACACTTGTCGTGACACAAGCATCTCAAAGTTCAAACATTGATGAACTTAAAATAGACATCAAAAACCCTTTGATAATCTTATGTAATAACCTCAACAACAGCATATTTAATTGACAGAAATTATTGATGGAAAGAAAATAGACGTAACAGATTCGATTGGAAGAACAATCCAATTACGGCCACCAGATTCACAAACGACTACATTTTAACACTTGTCCAATTCCAGGCTGATTTTACAACAGAATCTTAATGCAATGCATTTAGGTGTAAAATCTGAAACCAGATCGTAACCAAAGCCACAGCTCAAGAAACTATTAAGGATACTGCATCTTGCCTGGCTTTTGCTATTTTTAGATTCTCCATCATCTGCCTCTGGAGTGAGAGGGTCTATAATAAGAAAAAGTAAAAGACCAGTGTTATACAAATAATTATTTCAGTTTCAACTTTATTAACATTTACTCATTGGAAGAAGAAAAAACTTTAGAAAGTTACATGATAGTGCATATAGTTTTAAACACATAATACTGCAGCTTTAAATGAGGTCAATTAAACAAACTGACAGCACACTAAATATTCAGAAAACCTCCACCATATCCACAAAAAATAAATTACTTCAACTGGCCACCAGTTCTTCCCTAAATGTAAATCACACATTTGCACATAAACGGATTTAAAATGATCAAGTAGTGTGTCAAATGAGCTAAAAGTCAAACATTCAAAAAGTAGTGCATTAATTAATATGAAGTTAAAAAGCAGCATGCATAATGCAGAATTAGCCAAAGCAGATTAGATGGGCCATATGACAGCATGACAGTATCATTTATCAAACTTCAAATATTTGAATATACTGGATCATATTATGCATTGGATTTTCAGACGGCAAAGATTCATTGTAACATTTTTAGCATACCAAGTACGTACAGTTTGCATTCAAATTTATACGATTTCACCCCAACCCATAAAAGGATTTAATACGTAGTTTGAGAGGCATCGGTTATCTTGCTTTGTCACCACGCAAATACATAACGTATATAATATAATATATGGCAAAACGAACCTTCCAGAATGTCTTGATTTTTTTCCAGTATATACGGATATCCATAGGAGTTTCTCCGCGTCTCCGGATCATTCTTGAGAACTGGACAGCACACACTGTTTGTGTCCCACCGAACAACATTAAATTTGACCCGCCACCAAAAACTTAAACGAAAGAACTTACCGTAGAATTAAATGCGATATTGCTCATTAAAACTACGACAGTGTTGCGATAGCGACCTCAAATTATTAAATACGAATTGTCTTTGTCTGCGTGCACGGCCAATCTATCGCTCTGATCCCCTGACTGGCTCCCAAAACCGTTTTTACAGTCTATGCCAAAACCACAGCAGGCGTCGCAGCGGTCGCACCACATGGACGTGAGTTTAGTGAATCGCGCAAAGCCATTTAAAACAGGAGGTGTGGCGTCAGATGCGTTCTACGCATGCGCGCAATAAGGTAACAGATCACGTGCGTAAACGTCAAAGAATAAGTTCATTGTTTACAGATTTTCCACACACAAATACAATTTTATACATATTATGAAAACTCTGAAACACAAGGTGGAAATAACCACAAAGTGAAATATTTTTAATTGCCTTTTGTTTCCGCTTCCTTTTTTCATTTTTTAATTTGTATTTTTTTGCAAATACTTTTTTCTTTAGAATTTGTTAACAAATAAAAAAATATGAAGGACTGTTTCCTGATCCTGGTAGAGTAGACTACAATGCCGGCTGTTCTGACTCACAGATTGTAAGTACGTTTTTTACATTTAAAGAGTTTTTATATTTGATATTTTTTTATATTTAAAATTTAATTGACACAACCAATAAAATCTTTAGAATCAGCTGTGGGGCGGAGTTTGCACTGAAGTGGATTCCGGGAAAAATTGCGCATGCGTGTCATGTGCCTGTCTGTCAATGGGAGGAAGCCACGCCCTATTTTGGAGCTCCCACTCCGTTTTGGAGTTCCCGCCTCCATTTGGAGATCTCCGGGCTGCAGTTATACCCTTCTTGGCCTGACAGGGCATCATCACAATATGGTAGGGGCGTAACATTTTATGTGGAAAATAATGTGTTTTTTTTTAACCTTAAACCGCATAAACACATTTCATTACACCAAATACACAAAATAATGTTCTTTTTAGCAACATCAAATGACCCCTATAAGTTTTTTTAGGGCTTCCATTTTATTTATGCATGCATGTATGTATTAATTTATTATTTTCCTAGAGTAAGCATACATAAGCATACTAATTTTTTCCAGACTTACCAATGAGGTTTTTTGTGTGGCCTGACCAGGGGTAAGTCTTGCCAGTCGAGCCTCATAATTAGCCTTAAGTTTCTGGTTGAGACGTGATGCTTCCTCAATAGGCGTTAATTCCCTGTCACACACATACAAAACTTCTTATTGTGTACATACTGTGCATTAGGGACAGTGAGACTAGAAAACATGATGTCCTATTAACTTCCTTCATATGGATGCAGAATAGATTTGTTCTCAATCATAAAACAGATAGCTTTAAAAGTTCAATTGAAGGGGTCAGCGGTCAGTGGAAGTGCACATAACTAATTGTGTGAAACGTGGAGCATCATGTGAACCATTATTATTTTTATTTTTTAAATTACAGTGATGAACAACCAAATATTTATGGTTCTGGACTAGATTTCTAGTTTTCTTTTGTTTTTTTTAATAAATTATTTACAATAGTTTTTGTTTTTGTAATTTGAAAGCAAAAGCTTGCAGTTTTTTTTTTTTTTTGTCTTGGTCTCTTTTTCTTGAAGAGGCATCATCCAGATAAAATTAAACGTGTTGACATTATTGCTTTTTGCTTTCTTAAATAACTTTATTTGAATAACATCCATTAAAAATTAAGGCTATGAGGCTATTCTGTATCTTGTTAAACCAAGCATATTGTTCTTTGATAATCTAATTTAATAAAACAGGGGCATTCATTATGGAGCAAGTTAAAGTGAATTATAACACTTTTATTTAATGTAGAGCTCTGAGATGGTGAGACATAATTTATGAAACATTATTTATTAGCCTACAGAATTATATAATAGTAATGTATTGTTTTTTAGTGTTATTTAATCTTGTTTTTGTTTGTTATCTTGTATGTTTTTGTATATCACACTATAATTTGGGATCCAGATGTGAACGATCAATGGATATTGGGACTGTACCCATCATTATGTAGGTTCTCCTACATTCTGCTGTGATGTATACAGCGGTTATTAAACTCAATATCTCACTGACTTACTTTCGGTTGTCTTGTAAATCCATTGACTGAAGCTTCTGAAAGACTTCAGGTGGCAGGAAGGGGGAGTCAGTCTCCCCTCCCTCAGAGAGGACTCTGCGATGTCTGGTGGGCTGCTCTTTACTTTGGGTCTCAGAAACCAATGCAGATGCATTAGGTGTATCTACAGGAAGAGGAGTTTTGTGTAAACTGAGATACACTACCATTCAAAAGTTTAAGATGTGAAAAGTTAAATTTTTGTTAATAATTAATAATTTTATCCTGCAAGGATGCATCGAATTGTTCAAAACTGACAGTAAGACATTTTGTAATGTTACAAAAGATTTCTACTTCAAATAAATGCTGTTCATCAAAGAATCCTGAAAAAAAAAATGCATCATGGCTTCCACAAAAATATTAAGCAATAAAAAAAATTTCCAACACTGATAAAAAGAAGAACCATTATAATTAAAATCTATTAAAATAAAAACAGTTATTTTAAATTTAAATAATGTTTCACAATATTACTTTTTGTTTTTACTGTATTTTGATCAAATAAATGCAGCCTTGGTGAGCATAAGTGACTTCGTTCAAACCATTAGAAAATCTTTATTATTCCAAACTTTTGAATGGTAGTGTATAAATAATATTCTTAAAGGGGTCATATGATGCAATTTCTATTTTTCCTTTCTCTTTGGAGTGTTACAAGCTCTTGGTGCATAAAGAAGATCTGTAAAGTTGCAAAGACTAAAGTCTCAAATCCAAAGAGATATTCTTTATAAAAGTTAAGAGTCAGCCACACCTACCTAAAACGGCTCGTTCTAACACGCCCCCACATATCTACCTCACTATGTGGGAAGATTTGCATAACGCCGCCCAAATGTTCACGCAAAGAAAGAAGGCGTAACTTTTACGCTGCAGCCATTTACTTGAAAAAAGTAATCTGATTACGTAACTCGCGTTACTTGTAATGCGTTACCCCCAACACTGGTGGTTCCAAAAACGCGTCCAGGAGTAAGTTCATTCAACTCAGAGTATGTTCCGACGAGTCACTATGGAAACAGACGCTAAGAAAAAGCGCACCATGCTGTTTCTTTCTTCTTCTTTTGAATATGAATTATATTGTTTGATGCTAATATATCAGATGTATTTTAGAAAATGCCGATCCATGTGTGAGATAATATAAAATGTAATAAATAAATATAACAAATTAAACATTACCTTGTCATAGTGTTTTATAATTTGTACAGATAACTGTTATATATGCCAATAAAATAACCCATAACCTGCTCCGGAGCAGGTTATCTTCAGAAAGCAAGTTACTATGGTTACTTACAAACCCTGAAAGTAACCTGTTTTGGAACCGAAAGCTGAGGTTATCCGCTCACTTATCCTCAAACATACCCGGTATGTCACATAACCTGCTTTTTGGAATACCCCCCTGAAGATACCAAACTTAACTTTTCTAGACAAAGACCAACACAGCAGGTACAGTAAATATTTCTTTTTAATACGGTCACAGCAGTTTTTACATTGGGGGAAACAGGGAACAATTTTCAGTCTCTTAATAAAAACACTTCCTCACTGAGGCCACACACATACAGATGGAGAGGTTCATCCTTATGTGGCAAATTTCTTTTGTTTGATGGGTGCAGGCAACTGAGTGGCGACGTCCTCTAGAGGGCGCTCAACCACCACCAGAGACTGATCCGAGATCAGCTCAACACACAGGATATCCTAAAAAACAGAAACCAAGTAAAGTAATACACTTTATATCCAAACTTCTGGGGGGGGAAAAAGTATATGTGGCTCACACACACACCTTGAAGGTCTTGCAGACTTTAAAAGCATGGCTGTGAGATTTCCTCTGTTCTTCTGTGAGGCTCTTCAGAGTCAGCTGATTGTAAAATTGAGCTTTGTCATCAGGAAGTGGCTAGAAAAGGAACACGCATTAAAATAAATAAATAAAATACATTTAAAAAATCTAACTACCAACATTAGAAATATTAGGCTCCTAACCTTGTAAAGATAAATGACATAGACATAATAAATAACAGTATCAAGAAAAGTTTAATTTAAAAACAATTGTGAAAAATAATAGCACTTTTTAATTATTTGTTTTTTCAGACATTCAGACTTAAATAAGAGTGGCAAATGCTTTCTGAATTTGACTGAGTCTGTCTCACCAGGCTTTGGTCAATGATGCAGAGCATGTACGTATCATGCAGGATAACATGGGATGGATTTTGTGGATTGAACATCACATTGAGACACGGTGTGTCTCTTTCCATCCAGAGGCGATGAAGGCCCTTCCTCTGCACCGTTCTGCTCCAATCCGTGTACTGTTTCTGCTCTATGGAATACTCGCACATCTGTGGTGAACAAGAACACATGAGACCAAGAAATACAATCAAACCTACTTCATCACCCTTACGCTATTCAATGGAGGTTGTCATAAATGCTCAGTGATTACCTGTTGATCTGCATACATCATGAACAGACAGTTTGTTGTTGGGTGAATGCCCATGGCAGTGACAGCAGAGCTGTATACAGGAACTGTGCAATGAGCCTGAAACGTATGAGGTCGTTGTTAACATCCATCTTCTGTCAAATGTTTCTATAAGGTTATATAAACATTGCGGTCACATAACACACCTTCCGTGTCTGCAGGTTGTAGATGTGAACCTCGTGGTCACTGTTTGCAGAGGCCAACCATTCGCCATCCTCACTGGCAGCTAATAAGTGAATGGCCTGATGGGAACCTGGAGGAGGACAAACGATTTTAGGAAAGTTTTTGGAAGAACTCTTATACTTTTTATCATTTATTTGATCAAAATACAGTAAAATAGTAATAATGTGAAATGTTACTGCAATTTAAAAGAAGTTTTCTATTTTAATATCATTACTCCAGTTTTTGAAAACAGTTGGGTTGCTTAATATTTTTGGAAACTGATACTTTTTTTTATTTTTCTGGATTCGTTAATTGAATAAAAGTTCAAAAGAACAGCATTTATTTGAAATAGAAATCTTTTGTAACATTATACATAAATGCCTTTCCTGTCATTTTTGATCAACTTCATGCATCCTTGAAAAATAAAGTATTAATTATAAAACTAACATTTTCACACCAAACCCTATAGTCCTCTCACCTGACTTAGGTTTAAGGGTGCCCACAAACTTGCATCCTGATTGGCTGAGAGAAACTATGTGCACTGA